AAACTCGAATAAACTGCTGACAGGTGCTGTCACACAGTTTTTTCACCTAGAAACCATTTGTAATTCAAAATTGCGAGTTTGTGATTTGTGGAAATTAAGACGAGGGAAATAGTCTTTGTAAATTAAAAATTATCGACTTACATTTAAATGTGAATATGTTGGTGTTAAAAATGTATCAATTTTAATCCAAAAATTATCACTTTAAAATTTAAAACTTTAAATTAAATGTAATGTGAGAATTTTTGTATTAAAAATGTATCAACTATCTATTAAAAAAATTAACTTTGAAAATATCTGTTAAAACATTATTAAAGTGATAAACTTTAATCTTTAAACTATTATCTAAAAAATGCTAAAACGGCGTGCCATAGCTACGCCACTGACCTTGGGAAATTTGGCTAATGTTGGTATGTTGTTTCCGTGGTGTAGTGGTTATCACATCCGCCTAACACGCGGAAGGTCCCCGGTTCGATCCCGGGCGGAAACAAGAAATTTTTTAAGCAAATTGCAAATTTTAAATGAAAAATTAATAAAAGTCTTGTCAGAAGTGGGATTCGAACCCACGCCCACAAAGTGGACCAGAACGCTCGAACCTATGGAATAGGCAAGGAAACCTTGAGTCTGGCGCCTTAGACCGCTCGGCCATCCTGACAAGTTTTAATTTGGATTTAACTGACGTTTACTATAAAATATGACATGTCATATGCATATGACACGTCATGACATGATATGACATGTCATATGCATATATGACTTTATAAGCAAATTTTAAATTAAAATGTAATAATAATAAAGTGTTATCAGAAGTGGAATTTAAATCTGTTTTATTTAATCTTATGGGATTGTATGGCCTAAAAATCATTTTAAAGAAAAAATTCACCATTTTTTATTCAAAATTCCTAACATAAAAAGCTATGCATACATATATTATTTATTAAATTATATAAAATTGGTAAATGCAATTGTTTGTCCAGACATTTTTTTCAGCAGCTTTTCCCGTATAAGGTCCCCTACCAGATTTTTGATACGGGGCCCCTTCGAGGCTAGCTAAGCCCCTGACTATTTATTATTTTACAAAATACAAAAGTAAATGGTTTCATGAAGCCAATATTTGAAAAGATTATATAAACGTTTGTACTCACCTTTTGATAGTATACTAGAGTGCAGTTAACTAGATTTAACTGATAAAGCGTTACAAATTTTTGCGTACAGTGCCAATAAAACATTATCTTCCCTTTTACTGTAAAAAACTGCTTCTATATCGATTATTAGTTCATTTTCAAGGGATAAATTTTGATTTACACAGAAAAATTTGAGATTTTAACGCCGATAGATTCCCAAGTTAAAAATTGTAACAGGAAATCCAATACATACAACTGTCACTTTTGTACCTGTAACATTTCCCGTGTAAGAATTTTCAATACTTCATGATAATATTTTGCAATTATAGAAACAAAAAAATCAAAGGATAAAATATGTTCCTAATATAATCATATTTTAAAGTTATTTTATTATTTTAAAGTATCACTAATTATTAAGTTTAATTTATATAATAACGGGCAATGTTAATGGTGAAATGTTTATTGGGTTACTTTATTTTCGTATAGATGTCGCTTTATACAAATATTTAATTTAAATCATTTTTTAGATAACATTAAGTATTTAAACTTTTCTAGGCACTCATTTAATTAAGCACTCGGTCGCAAGCTTGCTCGTGCCTAAATTAAATTCGTGACTAAAATGGCGTTTATCAAACTTGATACATAATATACTATAAATTTGTATGTTTAACCAAGATTTTACTATATCCCTTCGATTAACTTTTAAACCAACACAAAAGCCTTTAGTTATGTGTTTTCAATACTTCTTCAAACAAATGGTGAAAAGAAGAAAAACAGTTAAAATTTATGACGCGTGAGTTCAAGAAGCATAAAATGAATATATTTACGAGAACGGTGGAAGCAACATGTCGACCCCAATACGAAAAAACCTATTTTATTTACCAAATTTAAGGAGATTAAGCACGGTTGAGATAATTTTTTTGTCCTGAACAAGAGAAAGATAAATTATGTTGTTCAATAAATGAGCTTTGTGCGTACGTATTTTTTCAATAAATTTTTGTAACACTGGTAACAAAATAAGGATGGTTTAAAAATAGTTAAATTATTGATTGTGCAAAGCAGCCCCTCGAAACATTGGTTTTCTTTTTAAAAAAACTGTGGAAATATTTTTTGCCAAAGCTCTAAATCCAGTTTCGTTTGTTTCAAGTGGCCCTTTATTAGCAATTCGAATTTGAAATGAATTTTGCAAATTTAATCAAATTTTTTTATGCTAAACATTATTTAAATTGATCACACAGGATAAAAACGATATTATAAATTTAATTTTAAGGCCCACTTTTTATTTTAATAAATAATTTATCCAAAAATTTAAATTTTATAACGACCATTATTTTTGAGCTTGGATAACCTTTCAAGACTGTAAATAAAAGGGATTTAAAGGTAAAAGAAAAGTGGGAGGGTTTTAAAAATAAATAATAATTTATGTCTTTGAATTTCACGAAGATTTTTTTTTTTCAGGTTTATTGGCTTTTAGTCTTTTCGACTATTTAGCCAGAATTTCACGAATATGTTACATTTTACATGTTCCATTATTATTAAATGACCCATAGGGATTATAGAAAAGTTCTAAATTTAGAATAAATTTTATTTCAGCCTAAAATATTTATTAAAAATTTAAACGAAAACACAGGCCGACAAAAATAAAATTTCTGTTTGGTGCATGGCAACCAACAATTTTTTAAGGGTAATTTAGGTACGCTGAATCCAAAAATAAACATCATTTTGCTCAATCAGCTCTTGTTTTTGCGATGTAGACTAAAAACCATTTTTTTCGTTATGCGCACATTCAAATTCTTATATATATATTTTTTTAAACAATTATAGTTGGTAATGTTGCTATGGGTCTTTATTAAACTAAAAAAATACATTGATAATGGTATCATTTTAAAAAATCTTGCTTTCATCGAAAGAAAATCGATTTTTTAGCCAAAATTCGTATATTTTTAAAATTCAAAGTGATACAGCATGATCAATTTTTGCCCGATTTAAATAAAATTACCCTAATTGTAGCTCTATTTATCTACATTATTGTATTAAAATTTCAATGCAATCAAAAATTAATTGAGAGTAGTGTATGAGAATAGAGAATTGAGAGTAGCAGCAGATACTCTACTCATACTCTCATACACTAAAACTAAACTAAAAAAAACAATAATATTTTTAACATCTCCTTATTAGACATACTTAAAATCAGGTCTAAAATCCTAGGGACAAAAATTGTCCACTTAAATAGGCTCTGTGAATATTAATAGCTATTCACGGAGCTTATTTAAGTGGTACTTACACGTAGTACCCAATTTTGTCTCGCTTGGTTGATATTATTGCCATGTTGCCAATTTTTATTTGATTGCATTGAAATTTTAACACAACAAAGTAGATAAATAGAGCTAAATAGAGCTAAAATAGGGTAAATTATTATTTAAATCGGGCATAAATTGAGAATACCATTATCAATGTATATGGTATTTTTTTTCAGTTTAATAAAGACCCATAGCAACATTACCAACTATCCTTGCTTAATTTAAAAGTTTAAAAAAATATATTTAAGCATTTGAATATGCGCATATAAAAAAATGGTTATTTATTTACATCGCAAGAACAAGAGCTGATTGAGCAAAATTATGGTCATTTTTGGATTACTTGGGCGTACTCAAATTACCTTAAAAAAGTTATTGTCTACCTGTCTATCTTTAAAACAAAATTATCATATATAATACCACAAGAGCTTCAAAATTATCGGGTATTTTTCCCGATAGGTTCGTTGCAAACAAATGAAGGGGTCAAGTTTTTCAGGTTAAAAAATCACGAGCGCGAAGCGCGAGTGATTTTTCCTGAAAAACTTGACGACTTTATTTGTTTGCAGGGAACCTTGAGGGAAATGCCAGATAATTTTGAAGCTCGTGTGGTATTCGGGGGATTATTTTTTTTGACAGTTATTATTGTACCTTCCTTATAGTCTTCTCCATCCATTTTCTTCATATTGTAAGCGTAATCTTTCATAATGTTTGCCAATTGCGCTTCACTCGTTTCAGCACTCAATGTGTATTCCCTCTCAGTACAAAAAGTAGTAAATTGGTTCCAAACTGTTTTTTTTGACTTCTCCGTATTAATGGGAACATTTCCTTTGACTTTTTTATCGATGGTGGACAGAGAACAAACTCCAAATCGACTCATTTTCATGCAAAATCTCCAATTTTCACAATTGAATTCAACCTGTCAGTTTGACGTGTAATTAATTTGACTTTTTTATATATAGCAACTACCAGAGAAAATTTTCAAAAAATTATCGCTGTAATTCGCTGTAGGTTCCCTCAACAACAATGCCTCAACAATGTCCCAACAATACAGAGAACTGTCAAAAAAAATAATCAATACAATTTAATTAATTCTAAATGAATTTTCAGGGTTTCACTATAAAATTATGTAAATATAAGCCTTAGCAAACAGCAGTTAACAAACAAACTCGTCTAACGAAAACTTCGAGACTTAATTTTCTTCCTCACTAATAAATTAACAAAGTTTTATTCGATATTAATAAAGTTGCATAAAAAAAATTGTAAATCATAATAATTATATATAAATCATACATATTAATTATTATTGTACTCACAGGATCAATATTAATTAATACACCACTAAAGAAAAAAATATTTTATCGATTTAATATGTAATTTGTTCCTTTGAAAAAATATTAAAAAATTCTCAGTATCCTGGTCTTAGAATCATATGAAGTAATAATTTCAAAAATGTAAGATTTACATTTTAATTACAATTTCCAGTCCAGTTATTAAAAGGAACGAAAATAAAACACGTTATTTTTTTAATGATTAATATAAGAATTATTTAATATGTACAAAACAATAAATTTAAAAAACTAGCCTAAGGTAAAAATATTTTATTGGCGGGCACATTATCAACAATTTTACTGACTACACTGGTACCGATGGCTTGAATTGTTTTTTTAATAGCATCCCCCATTTCCTCCAAAATAAGTTCCCAGTTTTCGTTGAAAAAATTATTGAGGGCATCACCTAAAAAATAAGTCAATTAAAATAAATAATTTATAAACAATTTAATTTTGTTTTATTTACCGAGTTGTTGGTTTCCGTTGAATAAATTGCCGTGGTAAAAGTGGGCCCTTTTTAATTTAAATGTCAAACTAGTAGAGTTTATACTGAAATATTCTACGCCATCTTTCATGCGTTTTGGCATATGGACGGTATATTTGTATAAACCACCCACTGCAAACAAATTAATACAATTATATTTTTTCAATACAATTTTTTTTAAACGTCAGTAAAAGTACTTTACTGCCGCTCAAAGTTAATACCAAAAGTGCTTTTAAATGAACTAAATGTGTTCGAAAAATCCAGGTATATTTCTTGTGGATTAACAAGCATTTATAACCCCGGGCATTAATTACTCAACGTTATGAATTGGGACTGCATACACAAACGATTTTAAATATCCCCACACACAGAAGTCGAGTGTATTTAAATCTGGAGAACGAGGAGGCCACGGAATTGGTCCTCCTCGTCCTATTTTTATTTGGTAGCTTAAGCCAGTTTGATTTAGTATTTTTAGTATTTAAAAAATGGTACTTCTGCTCTGACACTATCAAATTGACAGTAATATTTTTTATTGACAATACAATTCATTAATATTAGAACTAATAAAATGCCAGCATTCCATAGTTACGCATTTTTATCTCAGCGGCAATATTTTTTATCATCTTGTTTACACGTTACTAAAGATTTTGACACTTTTCTTGATTTAACATTTGTTGTCATTTAAATTCTGTGTTTGATATATGTATATCAATAAAATAATGAATTATAAACTCTAAAAGATCGATGGGTTGGTGTAAACGATAATGAAATTAAGGTAAGTTTGAATAAATAAGGTTTATTAAAGTCTTCTTATATTTTAAAGCACATTTTAATTTTAAATGTCAATCTGAAAATTTTTTAAATCCTAAAATTCATTGTATTTCCTGCGGACTCGTGAAATCTGCAGCTCGGTTTCAATTCGAAAATATCATCGATGATAATCATATCACTTGTTATATTATGGGTGATAATTTACTTGTTATAATTATTATATTATATCGATATAAAAAGATAACTATGCCAAAAATAATATCAGATTCTAAAGTAAAAAAACTTTTAAGGACAAAAAATCATTTCGATGAAGTTATGCCAAATGCCTCAATGGCAGAAAAGTACATCGCCTTATAGACATTTTTGGAGTAAAACAGTAACGTTTTTGGTTTTACAAATATTAAATCACACATTATTATCAGCTAAGCAGATCAAACAATTTTTAAATTAAAAAAAAATAAGGGGGAAATAATGATTGGACCACATTCACGTGTGTTTACATACAATTTTAATTTCTTTTATATACATTCTTTTCAAAGGGAAAATTATTATCCGCTAGGAATACTTTGTCTCCTACTACGAATTTTGACAATTCAACCGTTCAATGTAACCTACAATAATTTAAACATAACCATAATTACATAAAAATTACATTTATAACTATAGTTTACAGTTCGGTTTTGGGTCTCGTGTCGTCGGTAGCTCTATGAAAGAGTATATGAAAAATAAGTGACTTCTTGACCCAGGAGAGGCAAAATCGGACTCCCAGTGTAAAAACAAACTGGTATTAATCAAGAATTTGTAAAAATATATGGAAATAACTAAGAAATGGATCCGATGATTAAAGATTAAAGACAATTGTAAAATTCTCTGTATGAAGCCATGTGTACATAGTGAAGCGAAAAGATGACATGGTTCTATAAAAATTGATAAATAATTAAGAATATATAAATGGGTTTTAGTTCCGTATTTACCAGCCAAAACCTTAAATTTGCAACGTTGCCGCAGTCCAGATAAAAAAAATTAAATTTAGGGTACGTCACAATTGTGGGGTACGTCATCAAGGAGGTTTATGAAAACGTTTTTTTTTTAAATACAAGTATGTTTGACCGTTCAGTCGATTTGGTAAGATGTGAGAACCTATTAAGAAATCGCCAATTATTCCTGTAGTAAATCTTTGCCTTAATTTAATAAAGACATGTGGATTTTTATCAGCCCATCCATGACTATTATAAAAATTAAAAATTCCATCAATGTTAAAAATAATTTTTTCAGTAAAGTTGCCATTTTGTTCTCAACCAGCAAAATAATTCTACTCTACTTGGATGATCTTGAGGATTTAATGCTGTTCGTGCATTATTTCCCAAACTGAACTTTTTGGAACATCCTCTTGCATAACTATTCTTGTAGTGCTTGTCCTAGGATTAGCGGCAACTACTGTCAGGACCGTTTCTTCGTTTTCCATTGTCTATTTGATTTCTTCACCTTTGTTTACTTTAAAAGTGCCTGTTTCACACAGTCTTTAATGTAAACTGGTAAACGTCCGTTCACATTATGGTATACACGAGAATGCTTCTTGGTACAAACTTCAAGCTTCGCGACCATTGGCCTTACCGTACATGAAATGCATGGTGCCCATGTCTTTGCAAGTGTAATTTACCATTTTTGTTAGAAGTTACAGTTTGTTCTGACTTATGTTATGACTGGGAAATTTTACCAAAATTTCTTTTAGACTTACCGAATGTTGTATTGGATATACCATCCCCTCTAATCGGAAAACTGGCTATGTTTCCACTAGCGATGTAGTGACCCACCAAGTTGACTCTATCCATTTCCACATCAGCACTCCAAATGCTGTCTTTTAAATTAACACTGAAAAAAATTTAATAAGAGATAAATCAAATAATTAATGTCACACATACTTAATTGCTTTTACTCTGGCGTCGTTCAACCCATAAAATTTCACATTGTCTAGCTTAATAAGAAAATTTGAAGTTTGGATTTCCAGTAAGGGTAGTAAATATGGGTCGAAGGCAGGAATTCCTAATTTTTTGTTGGCTTGAAATTAAGTAAAACAAAATTAATTAATTCATTTGTAAATAAAAAAACTATATATAGTGGTGATTTAGTACTAAATCACCACTACACGCGAACAACACATAGCTGTTGGTCACTAATACTGAGGACGTTGCTATCATATTTTAATGCTTATTTATTTAGGTGAGTTGTTAAAATGAATTTAGTATCTACCTACCTTTAAAAAGACTGGGTAAAGCCTCGTTTGCGTTTTTTAATGCACAAACATTTAGTTTCGGATCACTTATTGAACATGCTTTCAAAAAAGGTGCTATAAAGAAATTAATATATTATAAAATACACTTTTGTAAGTGGTGCAGGTACTTAATCCAAGTTTTTGATCAAGCAAAGTTTTTCTAAAAAATTGTTTAGAAAATTTCGAGCCACATTTTTGTTTTAGAGGGGAAGTCGTCATGGTTTATTTTAGTGATAAAAGGGGGGATTGAAAACTTTGATTTAGTACCATAATCACCTGATATGGAGATTATTGTATCATTCAGTATACAGTTTGACTGAACCTACTATAAGCAAATATTCGAAAAAATCTTTTAAAAATATTTTTATTAATTGTGGGCACTTACGTAAGTCGCGAGAATCAACACGAAAAATAGCACAAGTAAACAAGAAGCAATAATACTTGAAGACCCCCATATTCACTTTCACGCACCGAAATAAAAAAATGTTTTATATTTTAGTAAATTTCATTAATATATACGAGCGTATTAACAGGGGCGTAGTAAGTAAACGCTATTAAATACATTAATGGTATATTAATATAACTGGTAAAGGCTAAGATTAAATCTAAACTAAATTTTATGCTAATGATTTTATTTGTTTTATAATTGCTCGATTTATGTAATTTTTTAAGAATTCAGTTCCTTGTTGATCTTTGGAACGCCCATGTGTTTTAATAAGGACAAGTTGGGTTTAAGGTCGTTGGGTCTGGTACATTTAATACCGTATATATAGTATTTTAATTATTTCATACAAGATTTCTTTTTAGTTAATTTTTTTATTTTATTTAACAAACGTGTTATACAGTGACTGGTTTGTTTTTTGATAACGCACATTTTGATGTACAATTTTCATATTTTCCGCCATTTTTGTAGAATCCCTGACGTATTCGGCCATTTTTTTTTTAAATTGTACCCCACTCTTTTTTTTGGATCTTCTAATAGATTATAAAATTTTGATTTAGCAATTTGCACAAATATATCTTTTGGGCTGATAGTTTCGGAGATATAAATTAATAAAAGTGGAAAATTTATAGTTTTTAATAATGTTTTGATGTTTTATAGTTTCTCTTAAAAGACTTTTTAATGGGGTCTTGATAAAATTAAAATTAAATTAAAAAGTGTTTATAGAAGAAATGTTTATAAACTTTCTCAAAATATTAGCAAGACTTGCTAAAAAACTTCCATATATCGACACTTAGGGCCGTATGCAAAAACGTTGATTAATATATATCAACTGATTTAGCATATCAGTGGATATAGGTTTTTGCACAATATGGCAACGCAGCATTTTTCTCTAAAAACTGTTGTTTTATATCTTTCAACGTTTATATTTTCCCTAAAAAAGTCGATTTCTATACATTGACATTTTAAATTAGACATAAAACAAGTATAATTTCATCAAGATTTATTTGACATTTGTAACATTTGCTTTTAACCATAGAAAATAATTATACTAATATAAGTCATGGTTTACTAGATTTGTTTCTTGGCCTATAAAATCATCTAAAATGTAAATCGGTTTATATAATTTATATCAGTCGTTAACGACTGATTTAAATTATGGATATGGATAGACAGTATTTTTGTTTGTAAATATATATAAAAAAATAAATTAACAAACCTTTTACAAAGATATAATAAAAAATAAAAAAAATTTAAAGATAAAATTACTACAATGTTAATTATATCAAATATCTTTGCTGTTTTTTGTCTGATTGAAAAGCTGAATGCTTGAAATAAATTGATTTGACTTTCTTTTCATTCTAAAATAATTACCCTTAAACATTGAACTTGGGTGAAAATATTTTTTGATTATTTTTTTTATTATTAAAAACATACATACCTTCCATAAATGTTTACATTTTAATATAATACCTAGATAAATAAAAAAAATTACTATTTAATAAATATTATCTACTCCAGTGAGATAAGAACTTCTTATCCCACTCATTTTGAGTGAGATAAGAAGTTCATTAACGCACGTGTTTTTCTCTGCTTTTAACCAATCAAATAAAAAAGTCAAAATGTCAAAATGTCAAAATAACCCTAAATTAAGTCTTAGACAAAAATAATTACCGTTTATTTTTTCATTTAGAGGCGTAGATAAAAATTTGTACAATATACGTGTGATAACGCTTTATTAACGTACTTTTGCGATTGCCCAACTCGTGCTACGCACTCGTTGGGCAAATTTCGCATGCGTACGTTAATAAAGCTCTTATCCCACCTATATCGTAAATAACTATTAAGGTCCTTAATTTAAGGATTATAAAATAAAACCAAAATTGTGTTTAAAAAATATTTGTCTTATTTTTTAAATACATTTAAAGAATTTTAAATTTTAGACCATGTTCAACTTATTTTCTGCAATTTGTGCTTGCTCTTCAAAAAGAAACTGTAAGGCTTAACAATGTAGAGGGGACTTTTTTGTGAGGAAATTTACACTCTATTTATTTTGGGCCCAGGAACATACTATTAAACATAAAAGAAAATGAAATAAAGGGGCACCAACATGGGTATTTCAAATTGAATATACATATTATAATATTATTAACAGTTTTTGCCAATAATACAAGTTTAATAGGCATTTTAGAAGAAAATGTAGGTAAAACAATTGTTTTTTTATATTTTTGGTCCACATTGTTTTTATCATTTGTAATATTTATTTGACAAAGAAATAAAAATATGCTCTGAAACAATATATTTTTTAAAATAAAATAGCCACACAGGGTAAAAAAATCTTAACTAGAACTGCAACGGTTAAATTTTAAAATTTGCTTTATTAAAGTAAAAGTTTTTAAAATTTGTGTACCTATATTTTTCAATATAAATTATTTAAAAAACTAAGTGTATAGGGCATGTATAATTTTTTTCATTGGGTTTAATTTAAAAAAGAAAAGCAGGGATTTTTGCCCCATTTCCAGCATGGGTGTAGCCAGGATTTTGTTCAGTGGGCAGGCAAGGGTAAACTATTTATACCCATTTTTTAGCAATTTTTGAGTATAGCTCCCTCCTTTTGATTAAAACAGTTTATTCTGAATCCATAATTTATGTATATCAAGCAATAACTACTTGTCACAAATTTTAAATGTCTTTTTTCCCTCTTGATGTTTTCGGCATCATTGCATTTATTTTACAAAACATTTGCCTAAATTCCTAAAAAGGTGTTATTGGTACCTGTACAAGAATATGTAAAAAAAGCCTTTTAGAAACAATTCTAGTACTCCTATAATTATAATATAAATATTTTAATTATAATATAATTAATTAATCTTTTACAAACACTTAAATAAAATTTCCACCAAATTCAACAAAATTGATTTGTTCTTTTTAAAGGCTTTAAGCCGTAATTTTCGTTTTTCATACCTTCTGATGCAAATTTACTTATACCAGAACCGAAAGAGAAGTAAAGAAGTCACATCTTAATCAATGTCAGAATACAATGCAAACTGCGAACATAATTGTGTATGTTTTATATTGCCGCAAACAGTGACCGGAAAAAGTATGAAACAAATTCATTTAAAAATTTCCTGTAATTTAAAAAAAAATCCCTGAACACGTCGATTTTGTTTTTCAATTACGCTTATTTTAATGTGACATTTTTATTTTTGGCACCTTTTTTGTAGAAGCTATGACGTTATCAGCCATTTTTTTTATTGCACCCCAACTTTTTGTTTGCAGATTCGAATAAAGTAAGTATGAAGTTCTGGTTTTAGCAATATGCACATGTATACCTGTTGGGCTGATAATGTTGGCTATTATTAAATTTCAAAGTTTGTGATATAATTTTTTTATTTTCAAAAAATTACACCTTTTTACCAATTAAATGCTCGAATTGCTACCCGTTGGTTTCTTGGCAGTAAGCAAGCCTATATCTTTGATATGTCTATAGACTGAGAAAAATGGTCGTTAACTGTTAAAGTAACTGGTTAATTTCTAACGAGCTACAACTTAGAATAGGGCGCACATAATGTGAGTTTGATTCTAAAATATGGTTCGTTGGAGAAATTTTAATTCATCATGTATTATTTTTAAACAACTTATGTATTAGTGTGTAGTTTTAATGAGTTAAATGTTAACTAATAACTTGGTAATAGAAATCTAGCGGCGCTTAGTAACAACTTATGAATTAGTGTGTAGTTTTATTGAGTTAAATGTTAACTAATAACTTATAACTAATATAAATCTTATAAATCTTTACGTTACTTACTTTCTATTAATATTAGATTCTTAAATCTTAAATCTATCTAGTTCTGGTGTTGACTTAATTATAAACTAATGCAATTTTAATATTAACTTATCAAATGTTGGCAATAAAACAGTTAATGTAAATAATATTGATTTATTTAAATATTTTATAAAAATATAAAAAAAAACATTGCACATTCTATAACTTCATAAAAACGAAATAATATTCTAAAAGGCGAACGAACTCGTTCGGGTAATGTGTACGTATGATCATATAGGATATTTGGTTAATAAGAATACATCTCTCTCCTAATTTTGGAACTAGCTCCTTCAAATTCTCCGGTGTTCGTGTGCACAACACTTTCATTGAAATGGCTTCCTCTGCATCTAAAAGACAAATTGTTTAGTACAAATTAGTTTATGATAAAGAATTTATTAAAGTTTTAATGCTTTTCCATAAAACACAGATGTTTGTTACAAAAGAGTAAATTTAAAACTGAAGAAATATACTTTTTTGGCTTGCTCCCTATTAAGGGTTTAGTTTATATTTAACTTACGTCATTTAAATTTACACTCGTTTGCCCGATTCGTTAAATATTAAATCACAGTCAATTCGTACTTACGAAGACAAGAAATGGCTGCTAATACTTTGTTAAGGCATTGCCTTCTCTAATTACACTAGTAAACAATAAAAAAAGGTCGGTAATAAAAATAGCTCAGTCCTATAGATTTTCACCTGCTCGACGTAAATCCGGCGCCCAAAAAATTTTCTGAAGTCTCGTTTAGACGATAAGGGCAGGACCATGATACAAAGAAAAATTGTTAAATAATAACGATAAAAATTAGTAAACAAAATAATTTGAACGATAAAAAACATCAAAAAAAACATGCCTTAAATTATTACAATATGTACAGATATGTTGTTCATGGAATGCTGAAATATAAGTTAAAAGTATCGTCACCTTAAAATTTTCAAATGGTGTATCTATGCAATAAATGGTACCAAAATACTGTGCTCCTATTTTTTATTTAGGACTTCAGAAATTTTTTTAAAAACATTTTGGATCTATTTTACACCGAGAGAAAGGTTGGTTTAATAATAACCAAAATGGTTATTTAGTAATAAAAAAATGATTGATAAACCGACGTAACAAATATTGGTTTTATATCACTCTGTCACTTGTTAAAAAGTTATAAATAGATTATGGTTTAGGAATAACCCTATGT